AGTTAACAATGGCCAAGATTCCACTGGAGATATTATGTTCAAAACCTTTTAGTGAGAAAATGTCCTTGACTAGTTATGTAGTCTCATGTCCTCGTGGGAAGATCACTACAGTCTGAACCGGAATCATAAACTAAACTCAGTGTCCCTGTCCTGATTAATGTTCAAACAACATTTTTGAAAAAGTATAAAAAGTTAATGTTTATTAAAGGACAGAAAATTATATAAAATAAGAATGTGATTAATTGTGAAGGAGTTATTACAGCAGGACCATGAAAGGGCAGTATGCGATAAAAAAATAATATTTAGTGAGGAAAATGCAGATTGTTTTTTTTATTTCATTCATATCGATAATTTTTTTTTTTTAACTTTATTTAATTTACAATCTGTTCAAGTTGAACAATAAACAAATGATATAAATAGTAATACAAAAATAACTTGAAGAACATGAGCTAGTGATTGACCACCGTCAACACTAGCTAACAAAGAGAATTTTGATAACACTTAGCCGAATCTGAATGGTAGGTCCAATATCGTATGTCGCTTCAGTCTGTAAATGGTGTTGTGATTGTCCAATAAATTAAGTGCAAGATGATTTGAATGATTTTCCAATTTTTTAATGTATTTGTCACTAGATTTTGTAATTTCTTCTTTTACTGTTCGAATTTGAAGATCATTGTGAAGTGTTCTGTTGGTAACAAACCAAGGAGCGTTGACAATTTTACGTAATAATTTTGATTGGTAACGTTGAATAATTTCAATGTTTGAGGTACTGTACTTACTGATCCCCAAAGCTGAATACCATAAGTCCAAATTGGTCTTAGAACTGTTTTGTACAGTAACAATTTATTTTGTGTACTGAGTTGTGATTTAGATCCAAGAAGCCAATTAAGTTTAGTTGTTTTTAAATTTAGATGTTGTCTTTTAGTCCAGATATGTGCCTTCCAATTAAGCTTTGCATCTAAGTGCATGCCCAAGTATTTCATTTCTGTTACTTGAGGGAGGTGAATATTGTTCATGGAAATGGTTGTTTTTTTTTGTTTTTTTTTACTAACGTTTGTCGGATCTATGGTAACGATCTATGGCAACCAAGGACAAAGCTCGTAGGTTCATATATTCTAACATTAGATATGACATCTATAAATGTTGTGCAAAAGTAATATAGTTACCAAAAATAATTATTTAAGCAATTTTACAAAATTGTAATTATTGAAATTTTGGCTAATAAATAGCCTAATAATATTTGGGTAAAAATATTATCAAAGGCAGGAAAAGTCTCATTGAATGAAGACTTTTGTCTCATTCTTCATCTTCATTATTGAAGATTTTTGTTGAACAGATTTTTTTTAATTTAATTAAAACCATTGACAATATAAAGTCAATGATTGAAACTAAATCTCTATCAGGAGTTGGGTTTGTTGAATAACAATCGTATCGGTTTAAACAGCGTTCGATTGCAAAAGTCCAGTAGGCAAGGACATGTGTTGGATAAAAGGTTTTGTTTGGTTTGGTATTGGATGCCCTTACTGCATTCCATCTGACATTCTACTCAAAATACCCAATCCAGAAAGAAAAACAGATAATCAATCCATCTAGCAAGGCAAGGGAATTTCCACTAGTAAAAATGTAAAGATTGATTGAAGATAATATGATTGACGTTTTGGTATTCACACACAAGAGCCTATTTCTGTTAGGCTGATAATGCAACATTTTGTGGAATATTTAGAATGTAAAATGGAAAAAATATATCGGAACTGCTATTAATTAATTATTCGCTATTGAATACTGTATTACATTACTTCGATTTTCAGTAGAAATTACACTATCATTATTCATATTTTTTGATAACTCATTAGCTCCATCGAGTTAAAGTTTATTCTTACTCATATCTAAAGTAATTATATACGGGAGCAGTAATTAAAATAAGCTATTTCATTATAATTAGTTACTGACAGGATAAGTACGTTATTATTATTGGATTATATTTCAAAGTTGGTCTTTGTAATTAATGTTAGAATAACTGTATATAGAGTATTGTTTTTAATAAAATATGTAATAGCTTATTTAACAGAGTGAGTTCTGAGCTCATAGTCTTAGAGATGTACAGTAAACGGGTTTTTTTTTATTTTAACACTATTCGTGCGGTCGACATGTTTGAACATAAAAGTTGCATTTATTTCAATGTTAAGCAATTGCGGGAATTCCCGTCATCAGCACCCAACGTGTTAATGCCGTGAAACGGGCAAAGAATGATTGAACAAAAAGTATAAATAATTATGTAGCCTACGATGATAAAAAGAGAAAAATATTTTTTAAATATTAAAGTGAAAATTGTTATCCATATCTAAATATTCAGACATATCCAGAGTAGAAATAGTACTACATGCCATTGAATGTATACGTAAAAGCTATATTAATTATGTAAAAAAGTAAATAATACGAAGTCAATCGTATCCTTCAGAAGTATTTTTAGCGTGATTGAATTTGCATTACGTTTATTATACTTCTTCGTCATTTATTGTTAAATACAACAGTTTTCACATGGTAAATTTAATTACTTTACCATAAGGATCAAAGTATATTGATCGATGGTTATAAAATCAAAATCTACTGAAGAAGGCTCAAGCCCGAAAACGTTTTCAGCGGGTAATCCTTTGAAATATCGTGATCTTATGGAAGTTAAGTCGGAAAAGCCCTTTGCTAATGACATTGTGAAAGGTAACCAACCCTAACAAGAATATTCTGAAACAGTAAGCGTTAAAAATATACCTTAAGACCTCAAAAAGCCGATTTATATAAACCCCAAGCTATTTAAGGACTTGGGATCACACAAAGATAAGTTAAGCTACATAAAGTACGTCTGAAGGTTATAAGCGTTTAGTCAAAGGACGACAGTGCTTTGGAAAACATCACAAGAGCTCTTAGCTCTTTGTAACTTGCCAAACTTCTGACAAATAGTCTATCTTAAGAGGTGAATTGATCTGAAGAATCTACAAAAGGGTGATCAACATTCAATACGGTGTTATTTACTTTCCAAGATCTTTCAAGGACATCTTAAAATGAGATCTTTGTGCATTTAACATACACGTTAACGTCGGGTTAACGTATAGAAAATTTAAATATTACAGCATTTTTATCTATATAATTAATACGCTACATGAAACTTTGTCGGTTGAACTCCTCTGCCATTTCTTAACCGATTTTATCCATTGAAGTCTCATTGGAAAGAGCGTGTCGCGTAGATTTGCAAACTGGCCTTACATTTTTGAAAAAGTCCCTTGGGCTCTGCCCCAGTGGCTTTGAAAGTTTCCATGTTATCCTTATGGAGAACATATTTGTTTACATTTTGATCAGCTGTATAATTCAATTGCTGTTATTTATTTTTTATTCAATGAAACGCATTAAGTGCATTTATTTAATACTTGAGTTTTTGTAAACATAACCCCCAAGACGGATCGTGTTAGTAAATGGTTGTCTCTTAAATTTGTGTATTTATATCGTTGATTTGTGTTGCTATGACGGATCGTGTTAGCATGATTGTAACTTAAATTTGTGCATTTATAGTTGTTTTGTGTAGCTATAATTTGTTTATTTGTTGTTTTTTTCTTTTAAATGCCTCCGGCGCGACGACAACGAAACATAAGACAGGAGGCGTAATCGTGATAACGACCGCAGCTACAGAACAGTGGCTGTATTAGACCATTGACTATATATACCTACAGGTATATATATAACTACTGTAGGTATATATAGTCAATGATTAGACTTAACTCATCACAGTTAGCACCTGACCCTGGACAATCTCAACTACTAGGTTACAAATGCGCCCTAACACTACCCCAAAACGACTTTTCGTTCCCAATCGGTCCTCTATCAATGACCTGTGTTGCCTGTTAGTACAGCTAGGCATTTTGAGAAGGAGAAAACCGGCCGGAATGCTTTAGGTTTTTCAATAACGAAGATAAACATGGTCTGAGTTACACACCGGTAATCTTTAGGTGGACTCTTTTAAACTCATTGTAAATATGACTGTTATTCGTTTTGAAATCACTCCTGTAATACTTTGCAATTGCTCGAATTCGAGCAACATGTACACTAGTTGTCATTGATTCAAGACAATTTTACTTACAGAATCAAAACATAGAATATTTGGATGGCCACGGGACAGGCACAGGGCAATTTTAAGGACATAAATACGCCTAAAATTCAACATCTTCGTGGTTTCCACCTTTGTTCGTTCGTCTTTGTGTTCACTTTTAGCCACAGACAGGAGAAGTTTTCTGTCTGTGTTTCAGCTCAGTTGTTTCAGTAGCTACAGGAACAAACTAATACACGGACACGAAGATTGTAAACACAAATACTGTACCTTCAACTAAGATACTGAACCCTAGAAATTTCATGTATGGACTAGCTGTAGCTTTTAAAATATATCATAGTATAATGAGCCTCTCGCAGAGGTGCTACTATGAAATTAAATTGTTTTCGTAGGTTTTTATACCATGACCGTGTTCTAACTCTAATGTACGCAGCTTTTCATCACCTTTTCTATTAGGGGCGATCAAATAAATTGTGCAAACCTTTTATGTTGCAGGTGTACTGATGAATGTTTTGGACTAACCAAATCCGAAACAGTCCTCCAAACATTTAACCAGCCTAGACCGTGATTAAACAGTGCCAAAAATACATATAACATCATTATAGCCAATACATAAAGCCCGAACAGAAAATTCAAAACCTAAACCTGTACGACTGCTAGATTGCTTAACCGAGTCAGATTTCCAAAGCGCACTGTACGAAATAAAAGGTACTTTGGTATTATACTGACCACATCAATAAATCGACTCCCAAATAAGATTTCAATTAGCTTAAATAACAAAATTTGTCTAACTTAACCTTAAACATAGTCCCTCCTTAGATCAGGTTAGGTTATAATTATTAGGTGTGGTCAGTATAATACCAAAGTACCAAATAAAATATATCTACTACCCAAAACTGATACTCACTCGGATTCTTCGTGACGATCACAGAGCCTCTGGATATCTCCCGCAGACTTGCCAGTCCGACCTCCTGCAGGCTGAACATCTCGTGGATGACGAGGCCGTAGTCGATGAAGAGACTGGAGCCGCCGATCCTCACCAGGTTGGGGAACAGCTTCCCCAGATTCCTCAGACCCTTGACTCTGTAGAACAGGAGGTACTGGGTAATCTCCCGTAACTCCGGGAAACTCCAGAGCTCAAAGTCCTGCTCGGTGGCCTTCTCCATCAGCACGATCTGCACGTATCCTTCCACCACGGTGCAGTTGGACAACTTGCCCAGGTTGGCAACATTGTTGCGCACATTGATGCTCTGGCAGATCCGAGCACTTGAGTGTTCAAAGAGCAACAACAACAAGAACAACACGGCACTCATGTTCACCTGCAGGCTCTTGAAAGTTGAAAAGACATTTTACAAGTCTTTCAAAATGTAGCTGAGATGTTACAAAATGTGTCTTTCACGAGCTGGTAAGCTGGAAAGGTTTGGTTTTAATTGACTTTGGATACATGTAAAACAGCTTTAGCTAGATTGATCAAAATAATTTCGATAAGAGAGCTCCCAAAGAGTGTTCTGTAATGGGAATTGTATCTTTAATTTTTACAATCAATTGATGTGCTAAAAAGCATTTTATAGTTCACAACAAGTTTTACTCACGGTTTGGCTAAGACAGAAAACAGGATTTGTACCAGCCGCACTCTGTCGAGGGCTCAATTTAATAGCATTCCTTTTTGTTCTCTACAACTTTAACAACATATGAACCACCACCAAGGTACTGTATCCAAAGTCAACAATTGTATTTAACTAGAATTTGTTAGGTGAAGATGTGTCTAGAAGCATGCTTAATAGTTTCGGGTTTATCTTTAAGTATAAGTATGAAAATAGCTATATAAAACACAGTGCACGACGAGGGGCTTTATGATTGTTTTAAGGGTGATCATGAAAGGGCAGTCATTACTTTACATGTCTGTACAGGTTAAGTCGTACTATCAAAATTCAAAAGCATGTAAAATGCTGCATCAGCTGATTGTAGTCGTAGTATCTTTAACTGTTGCCAACTTATTTTCAAGCGTACCCATATTACGCGACTTAGAAAAGCACACTGTTTTGTGTTGTTTGGTTGGAATACTGGAGTGCGGCAAAGTAAGTATATGCATCACGTAGCTACTTTGCGTGCTATAATCAGTGCAAGAGAGTCCGCTTTTTATGTAACTGTAGGAAAAAATAATTAATTATGTACGAATGTAACCAATTACATTAGTCGTACTGCAATCAAATTTAAGACTGTATGTTGATGTTATTTATTGAAAAAGAACAAATTTAGAAAGCCGTCTGTAAATTTTGAGATTGCCTGAAAGTTTTTAATATTGCAGCCAAATTATGCAACTGCCAAAGTGTTAGTTTCCACGTATACTTTGTAGGAGGTACTAAATCTTATATCGGCAATGCTACTTCACCATTACACAAGTTATGTCCGCTTCGTGGCATGATCCATTTAACTAGCAATCCTCTTAGAGAAGCCAATGCATCTATATTGGTGTGGCTTTTAACAAATCACAGTAACACTTCGCAGTTATTAAATAGTAATGAGTCAGATACATCGATAGTCTTAATTTTATCTTTATGTTTAACTCGTTTCAAAATAGACATGACTTTGAATGATATGCTATATGTTTATGTGACCCGTATTTAAATAAACTCGTTACTTCAACGTGTTTCAAAGGAGCTTAGAGAAGGTTTTATCTGTGGTTGTATACATTCATTTTTATGTATAGTCTGTAACGAAAGCAACAATTTACTTAAATAGCAGATAAGAACAAACGTACGTGTGCATAGGTAGAAAGTATATACGTGGGGATTTTGTATAATGAACTCTTTATTTGGCTCCCTAGACGCACACTAGGTTATGAACTGTTATTTTATCAGTTTAAGATGGATATGTATAAATTCGAAAAATGCATTACGTAAAACAGTATAAGACTGGAGATCATAAATCAACGACGTATACAGAGTGGCCCAAAAAAGGTACTGTACTCATAAAACTGGACTGCTTATAATTGCTGTTTTAATGAACATCACTCCACAACAATGTTCATGCAAAACTAATGGAATATGTAATAAATAATGGTGGAATCTTAGTTTTAAGATATAGTAAGTTTGTACAACTAATAAATAATAATTAATTCCCGTGAAATGATTACTATCTTTTCGGATCACCCTGTAGTTTGCAATTATTAATTGTTTGTGTTATAACTGTTAGAGTCCTACCAGAAAACTATGTTACCAAAGCTTAATGCACAAATCCCCAAATATACCCTAACATTATCGAAAAAAAACATTTTGTAGATAATAATAATACGGTGTTCTACCGTCTATGGTTCTACATACGAGCAGAATGCCAAACGCATGGTAAAAAGCATTAAGTGTTTTGAGAGAGCTTTGCCTGTCAATTCGTAGGCAGCGCCACCAGCGTTGCCATGCACTCAGCATAGCAACACTGGTGGCGCTGCCTACGAATTGACAGGCAAAGCTCTCTCAAAACACTAAATGCTTTTTACCATGCGGTTGGCATTCTGGGTTATAGTAGTATGTTTTATGTGAAACGAGCTTCACGGATTTTACAATAGGCTGATAAGTCACTTGTACTACTGTATTCGAAGTCTCTACGGTCCTATGAATCAAATCACTAATTTAGTAACTCAATTCGAACTCATAAACTGGTTTGCGACTCAAACCTCAGGTCAAACCAAACCACTACTGTATCTCGGCCGGATACTTGTGGCCAGGATTGGGTAGACAAGAGACTGAGCAACACTGGATAATGTTTTATCCATACCAGAATCTAGCAGATAATGGCGTGGGTGTGAGAATGTGAGTATATTGAAATAATACATCATTTTTACTATTGTGGAATCAAAGAAGAATTTTGGTTTTAAAATTTGTTTAATGGTTGTTATGTATTTGTTTGGATTAAATTACCAGTAAATTAATCACGAGGTCCTTATATCTCTCTTAATAACAATTATATTTATTAATTCGTTCAAGCCAACGAAAAACACGTTAATCATAAACGCTAGTCAACGTCTCGCTTAAAAGACCCTTAACTGACTCCTAACAACAGGATTTACCTAAGTCCTCTTACTTTTACTTAAGTGTTGGCATAGACAAAAAGAATTTTTGTCTATGGTGTTGGCAAATCAACAGTCAACAAAAATCCACACTCAGCTGGTGGTTGGCATTGGCTGGCATCGAGCCTGTTGCTGTTTTGAATGGACCAATGTTTATCTTAAATCACTGTCTAGAGCCGGAAGTAATTATTAACTCTGTCACCAGACATTCTAGTTATTTATGTCAAGTGTCACCGCGCTTCACTGCTTGAAAATAGTTTAGGGTGACATATTTCCTATGTCATTCACTTGGTGGGAAACTAGTTATATAGTGACATATATAAAACCATTAAACATACTCTCTTTAGTTACTCTCTTGTGTTGGTTAGTCTATGATAGTGATATGTATAGAGGGATGTATACTACGAATTCTCACGGAGCTAGATTGAAAGTTAACTTTTTTGGTACACAATGGGATAATTTACTGAAAATAGTTATAATTAGTAGTTTCCATAACTTCTTGATTGAAACCTTCACGTGTTCCTGATGTTACGAACGATATACGGTAAACAATGTCTCCAAACACTTTTCATAACTAAATAAGAAGATTTTTAAACGAGACTTGTATTAAGCACATTTTAAATAAGGTAAAAATCTATCTCCAAAACATGGGACGATCCCTAGGAATGCGAAACCTGTACGTGAGATTTTCATTATTTTTCTTTCAATCTGTTATCTTTTACTAGTCTGTAAACAGTAGAGTAAAGTAAAACGATTTTCAACAGTGACATCAACAGTCATTGGTACCAATAGAACAAAATTCAGACATTTAAACAAAAGCTGATACATTAGCTGTTGTATTTATTTCACCAAAAACTGTATTTTACGAATATTATAATACCCCCGCCGCAGCAAACCTGCAGACTAAGCGAATTTCCATTGACCTGATTGGATTTACACTAAAATGCCTCCATAAAAATAGCACATTTATTTCCTATTTAAATAGAATTAGTTTAACAAGTACCTTAGGTTTGCTGCAACAGGGAGGGTAAAAAAGATTTTTTTATAAAATGATAATAGTTTAGTAAGAAATAAAAGTATTTTCCAAAATCGATCAAAATATGTTCATAAACAAGCAAACTGCAACAGTCGACTTATTCTCCATAAGAATAACATGGGAATTTTAAAATTACAATTTTTTTGAATTTTCTCCGTAACAATTAGGCGCATAATAACGCTTCAATATACTAAATTATTTGTTTTTTTAAGCTCTACAAAATGGTTTAAAAAGAAATTGTGAAATTTTTTGTTTTAGGGGCAAAAATGGGAAAAACCTATTTTTACCCCATAAAACCCCCCATAAACCCCCGTCCCCATAGTCCGATCATGCTGGTTCGCGAACTCATTCAAGTTTATCCCGCCTTACACCTTCAAACCAAATTTGGACAAAAATTACTCAAGTTAGGGCCTATCGTGCGGATGGACACATATATATATATATATATATATATATATATATATGTATCTCTATATATAGATATATAAAAATTTGAACGAATGGTGTTTTTGGCCTCTGGGGACATCAAAATGAAAAAGTAAATCGGTCCCGGGCTTAGGTCTTACCATGAGACCTACGGTAATAGCTACTTCCCTATAGGGAAATTCGCTAAAAACCCTCCTCTCAATACGTTTTATATCTAATCTTATACAACAAAAACTCTCTGTTTGAAAATAACTTGTTAACAATGCCATCAAGCTGTGGTAAAACATTGTATTGTGTATGTTTGATTATTCCTTTTATAAGGGTTGGGCGTAAAAAAAGGTAAAATTAGTTGGACTAAGAAGTTGAACAATATTGTATTTGGATCCGGGGTTTTATTAAAAATATATTTAAGACTGAGTTATTATTTATTATACCGTCTAAATTATTTTTAAAAATATGTAAAAACCAGATATCCTTTTAAAGACTTAAGGGGAGTAAACTTTTAAATCTTACTACCTCATTTCGAACAGTTGGAATTACGTTAAAAAACGTCAATCTAGGTTATACAGTGAAATCTTAGTAAAAATACCCTCGATAACAAGTGGCCATTGAATAAAAGAGGAACTTTCGATTACCATTGATTTCACACAACCCTTAATTCCATGTTATTGCAAACCTCGATAAGATGTCAACCTTGATTAGTCTTATTTGATCATCCCCATAAAAGACTCGTTATCGAGGTTCTACTGTATAACAAAACAGACCCTTAGGGTGAACCCTTCTCGTGTACAGTAACAACACGAATGGGCGCATACTAATTTGTTTTGAATCCATTTACCTTTAAAAGGGACGTAAATGGCTTTTGAGTGGGATCCAGCGGACCAT